GGAAGTACTAGCCAGAGCAATTAGGCAAGAAAGAGAAATAAAAGGGGTAAAGATAGGAAAAGAAGAAGTTAAATTATCATTGTTTGCAGATGACATGATACTCTACATAGAAGACCCCCTAAACTCCATTGAAATACTCTTAGATACAATAAATAAATTCAGTAATGTGGCTGGATACAAAATCAATACTCAGAAATCAATAGCATTCCTATACACGAACAACAAAATTACAGAGAGGGAAATAAGAGAAACTGGACTATTCACATTAGCAAGCAAAAAAATGAAATATTTAGGAATTACTCTTACGAAAGAAGTGAAAGACTTATACAGTGAAAATTATAATACACTGAAAAAGGAAATTGAAGATGATCTCAGAAAATGGAAAGACATCCCTTGCTCATGGATAGGAAGAACAAACATTGTGAAAATGGCCATTCTCCCAAAACTGTTATACAGATTCAATGCAATCCCAATAGAAATACCATCAACATACCTTATAGATCTAGAGAAATCACTCCTAAATTTCATCTGGAACCAGAAGAGACCTAGAATCGCAAAGGCAATTCTAAGCAGCAAAGACAAAGCAGGAGGCATCACAATCCCTGACTTGAAGTTATACTACAAAGCAACAGTAGTAAAATCAACATGGTATTGGAATCAAAACAGAGCTGAAGATCAGTGGAATAGATTAGAAGATATAACCACAACTACGAACACACTCAACCACCTTATTTTTGATAAAGGAGCCAAGCAGGTTCACTGGAAGAACGACAGTCTCTTTAATAAATGGTGCTGGAAAAACTGGCTCTCCATTTGCCGAAAACTAAAGCTAGACCCATGTCTATCACCATGTAGTAAATTAAAATCTAAATGGGTCAAAGATCTGAATATTAAAACAGAAACACTAAATCTATTGGAAGACAAAATAGGTAGAAACCTTGGAGACATAGGAGTAGGTAAAGAATTCACGAACAGGACTCAAACCGCACGGGAAATACTTCCCAGAATCAATAACTGGGACCACTTCTTATTAAAAAGTTTCTGCATGTCAAAAGAAATCTCCAGCATAGTGAAAAGAAAACCCACAAACTGGGAAAAGATTTTAGTGAACTCTCTCTCAGACAAGGGCCTCTTGTCTAAAACATACAAAGAATTAAAGAAACTCAGACCTCCGAAATTCAAAGACCCAATCCAAAAATGGGCATCTGAGATGAATATGCAATTCTCAGATGAAGAAATGCAAATGGCAAATAAATACATGAAAAAATGCTCATCATCATTGGTCATTAGAGAAATGCAAATTAAAACCACACTGAGATACCATCTCACTCTTGAAAGAATGGCCAGGATCAAGAAAACCGACAACAAATGCTGGAGAGGCTGTGGGGAAAAAGGAACTCTCCTGCACTGCTGGTGGGAGTGTAGACTGGTACAGCCTTTGTGGAGATCTGTCTGGAGATTTCTCAAAAAGTTGGGACTGGAAATCCCATTTATTCCAGCTATTCCACTCCTAGGCATATTCCCAGAAGAACTGAAAGCATCATACCACAGTGATATATGTGCACCTATGTTTATAGCAGCACAATTTGTAATCGCCAGATCTTGGAAACAACCCAAGTGCCCATCAACTGAGGAATGGATAAAAAAGTTGTGGTATTTCTATACAATGGAGTATTATTCAGCTATAAAGAAGGATCACATTGAGATATTTATCAATAAATGGGCGCAGCTTGAGACCATACTCATAAGTGAAATAAATCAATCTCGCATGTGTGAATACCGAATAGTTTCCCTAATGTAAGTAATGATTCAAATATATAAAAATATGTGGTAATCATGATTCCCCATTAGGTGGCCTTGAAGCCTTATAAAGTTTTCACTCATTAATTAGAAAGGCTTTATTCTGGGCTTCTTGATATGAAAATATTTGAAGCTAGAGTATATGAAATTTTACCCAAATATTTCAAGGAAAAAGACACTATGGTAACTACTATTAAGTCAGGTTATAAGGTGGTGAAGTACTAGGTTATTGAAACAGTCATGCTGTGACCTCTATTGTTATATTGTTATGTCCTGTTTTATCTCAATCTCCCCCTTATTGTTTCAAAAAAAATTATTTAGTCATTTCTTATGTTTGTCTTAATTAAAGAAAAAATTCAAAAAAATTAGGATATATAAATAGTAACTCTTTTCGATTTCCTATTAACTTGTTTTGAAGTCCTGTAGTACTCCCACGATCTTGTTTTGACTGATTAGACTCTGTTCCATTCTATATGATAGTATCAAGTTTGAAGACATAGGCAACTACTTTGAAGACAATAAGATTCACTAAGATACCCTTCTGGTTTGACTATTGTCTTCTTTGGAAGTCCTGTAATGTTTACAATGCCTAAGTTTTATTGGTCTTGTTCTCTACTGTTTTGTCCAACTTTATAATATCTAATAAGATAGACAATTCTTTTTAAGGAAACAAGGGACAACGTTGATAACCATTGTTGATAAACTTGTACTCTGTTCTACACCATGTGCTATGTCTATCCTTGGTATTGACTGACAGCTTTGTTTTGCCATATTTGACTGTATTCTCCCCCCCCCCAAAGAAAGTAATAAGCACTAAGGAGTAATAAAATCCAAGATGTGTAAATTTTGTTGTAAAAAAGAGAGGGAAAAAAAAAAAAAAGAAAAAGAGCTCTAACGGATATAACAGCAAGTGTGTTTGGGGGTGTTAAATAGCTGACTTTATCAATGTTTTTGGAACATTGAACACAGCTGTTTGCAGTCTCCCTGTTTGAATGTCCACCTTGTGTTCTTTGATACTGTGATTTGAGGAACTATTTTCAAGAAGATAGTGTGTAATCTACTAGCAGGTAATTTCTTACTGTTATGGTTTTTTGTTTTGTTTTGTTTTGTTTTGTAGTTCTGTATTGCGTGTACCCTTACGCCGCTTTGGTTTGTTTTGTGTTTTTCTCTTTTTCCTCTTAAATAAAAAAAAAAAAAAAAAAATTGCTAATTTATTAAAGTGTCGAAGTAAAATCTACATATATAGTTTTTACCTTTTTCTGCTTCTGATGTGATAATTTCAGGTATGTGAAGATAGTTATTCTTTTTTTTTTAGCTGTTTGTATTACTTTTAACTGGTTTTATTTAACATGACTTAGTATATAGTCTTCTACCCTTGTGTCTTCCTTTGGGTGTTTTGCCCATGTTGGGCTTGTACTCATGATCCTTCTGCCTCAGCCTCCCAGAGGACTACGATTCTAGGCATGTGTTACCACATCTGACCCATTTGTTCCTTATAAAGTTCATTTTATAGTTAGATTTGACCCATTGTTCCTTCTGAAAAGAAAATATGAAAGAAAGAGCAGGAAAGGAGGTGGTAATAGGATTAGAGGGTATTACTTGAGATATATAAGACTTCTACACACCTAATAGACATCTCAGTGGAGATACCAAGCGATCAAGTATACTAAAGTCACTGAGGAAGTTAGACTGGAAATGAAAAATAAGGGATCATTTAAAATATTTAAATCCATGACTAGATGAGATCCATGAAGATAGCAAATGTAAACAGAAATAGAGTTTAAGAATTGAGGCCTGGGTTATTTTTTATTTGGGTATCAGCAAATAAAGAAAGATCTTACCAACAAAACCAAGATTACAGCCAGAGAAACAAAAAGAAGCTATGTATGAAAATGAGAAACTGATTAAAGAAAATGTTTCAAAAGGAAAACCAGTAATAATGCTAAGCAATTTTAGCTAAAGGAGTAATAATGCTAAACTATTTTAGGTAAAAGGGTAATAATGCTAAACAATTTTAGGTAAACGGGTAATAATGCTAAACGATTTTAGGTAAAAGGTAATAAAGCTAGACGATTTTAGGTAAAGGAATAAATTAGTTCACTTCTAAATGCTTTCCTCTATAGATTTTTCTATTATTACTCCTTTGGCCTTTTCCCTAAAAGTCTATAGAGTTCTGAAATTCTGGTTACCAATATCCATCATCATCATCAACTACTAAAAGAAGGCTTAGTGAAAACATAACATGATATAAAGTAGGTACTTGTAAATCTGAACTTGATCCCATATAACAAAAAGTATATTAAATGTTTTCACTTACTAAATTAATAAACTAAAGCAAAAATGATTATCCATTTTTTTTTTCCTTTTGTTGAAATGACAAATCTCTTTGAGGCCATCAAGTTATTTCCCAGTGGATAAGGGCAGAGATGAGAGTATTATGTATGTATACAACATATATATATATAAAAGCATCTTTTAAATTACTGTCATGTGTATACACACCTCATGAAACTGAAGACAGTAGGTCAAGAATCCACAAATTAATGTAATACCTTATGATTTTTTACTACGATATTCAATAAAAAGATACCTTATGATTTTTTACTACGATATGCAATAAAAAGACACTCATTTATTGTCTTAGTTACTTTCATTGCTGGGACAAAGTACCCGTCACTCCCAAGTTAAAGGAGAAAAGGTTTACTCCAGCTCACAGTATACAGAGGTTTCAGTCCATAGCCAGCTGGCTCCAACGCAGCGTGGCATGGCAGAAGGGTATCAGAGAGAAGAACCACTTTTGGGGTGTCAGGCAGAAAGCAGCAGCAGCAAATCTTCCCTCTCTCCCTTTATATTCCAACCAGGCTATAAGCCTATTGAATAGTGCCACCCACACCCAGAGTATGGCTTCCATTATTCACACTAAGAACTATGCTATACCAGCTTAGTTATCACTCACCCTTAGTCCAGTATCATATACCCTGCATCCAGCCACCTCAGAAAAGCCCTACCTGTGAATGCACAAGGCTTTGGGGGAGATATCTAGACATAAGCCATAATATTTGTACATTTGAATTAAAGTACTCCAAAATAATAAATTGTTGGTTGTGAATAAAAAATGTAATGCATATTACTTTGACTTCAACTATACTTCTATTATAAATAATTACATAACAGTAATTTAAAAATTCAAAAGAACATACCACTAACATTTTCAGTTAAAATAAGATGAAAGACCTGAGCAAAGGCATCAACATCTTTATGCAGCCATATGTCAGAAAGACAAGTATCCATTTCCTTTATTAGCCATGGTTCAAGACAATTCACATCTTTTTCTGACTTTAAAGAAAAAAAGGTAAAAATTATAAGTTATTGAACAGTTTAACTTTTGCTTATAAAGAAAATAAAAATGGCCATAGTGGTCACAAGAACTACTAACATATATTAATGCATAATATAGCAAAGGTTTCTTGTTTCATCTTACAAACATTACTCACAATACTATATCTCATTCTCATATTCATCTGTTACCTAAGAATGATCTTGTTAACAACACTATGATCTAGTCACATTGTGTTTATGATAGATAGGATGTCACTAAATATATTTATACACCAGTGGTTCCCTTTTCCAGCTACAAATCAAAAATGGCATCACTGGGAGCTTTTTTAACATTATACCAAGTCCATCCCATCTAAAATGCATCAGAAGCCCTGCTAACAAATGACCAGATTCCACAGGGCTTTATATCCCTTGGGTGATGTAATGTGGAACCAAAGCTTAAGAATCATAAATTTATATGATGACAATGTCGTTCACTGACTCAAACGGATCTTCCTACACTAAAGCAATCTTTAAAAGTATTTTTAAAAACTCTGGTAGAGTTCATACATCCATAACGACTGTGTCTTTGTAGCATGTAACTTCTCATATTCAAAATAGTATATTTTTCTAAAGAGAAAGTCCAGGGTTAGGGATACAGTTCAACTATACAGTTGCTGCTTAGCATATGCAAGGCTGTACGTCTGATCCACAGCATGCAAAGAAAAAAAAAAAGGAAAAATAAGAAAAGTGGTCCTAAATGTTGCTTAATCTATTAGCCTACACAATTTTTACTCAAAAAATCACTGTGAAACCAGTAAGACCTTACCAGCTGACTAAAGACAGCATCACCCCCGTCATCCAATAAATCATACTCTTCAGTCACATTTGGAACAGTTCTCTGTCTCTGAGATTCAGGCTTGAAAGTATTCTCTTGAGCAGAGTACCATTCTGTAAGTGTGGTTTGCTGTTTTTCTTCTAAATTACCAAAGAAAAGTAAGTAGATGATTCCTTTTAAAATGTACTCCTTTTTAAAAATTAAGTGAATCTGGTATTACAGAAAAATTGGCTTCATTTTGCAGTTACTTTAAGAATATTTAGCAAAACATGGTATAACAAACTATAAGGACACACCAAACTGCTTAAAAACATAGTATCTATTGGTAAGAAGTTTATGTTTAAGTAAGTCCAGAATTAAGAATAATTTTATTAGGGGGAGATTTAGCTCAGTGGCATAAGCGCCTGCCTTGCAAGCGCAAGGTTGTGAGTTCGATCCCCTGTACCAAAAAAAAAAAAAAAAAGAATGTTTTTATCTGCATCAGAATTAATGTTTCAATCTAACATCCATATAGCGCTTAGCAGAAAATCATTAAACTTCTCTTGCCCTGCCCACTGTTTGAGATACTAGATATAATTCAAGAGTCTCAAAATTTTTAAACCTAGAAAGCTTTACAACTTACATATAAGTGATTCAGCACTGTCCAGTAAAATGGGGGTTACTAATTATTATTTTTCAAGTGGAGAACCCTAAAGAGTTAATAAACTTGCCCAAGGCCATAAAGAATAAACAAAAAAGTCAAAGCTCGAAGGTAGGGCTACCATGATGAATAATACAGCTAAAAGTAAAACACGGAATCTAAATCTTAATTCAAAAGCTGTAATATTGTATAAAAGGGCAAATATTGTTAAATATGAAGTACAAATGCAATCTCACAATAATATCAAGTTTGGAAACCTGGAGATTTTTATGTAAGATAAGCTTACTGCTCTGATGCTGTTCTTTTTCTTCCATTTACTTCCACCTCACATTTATGAGACAGGCTATGGGCAAGCAACATACACTCTTTTGTTACCCTAAAGTGATACTCTGGATACAGAAACAATCAGCTCCATCAATTATGGTAGCCCCTTTCAATTTTTCTCTACAGATTACAACTTCTGAATATAAACCAGAGATATGTGTGGAACAATATTCTAATATAATTTTATAAAGTATAAGCAAGAGGTAAACACTGTTAAGTGTTCCTCTACCTCCATAATATAAAGCTGAAATACTTCAGAAAGTCATTTTTAATAGTTATTTCTTTTTTATTTGAATTAAAATACTTACCTCGTTGTTTTTCTTTTTTATACTTTAACATTTCTTTGTTTGTATATCCAGTAGTTCTTAAAATATCTTCCAGAAACATTTCCTTTACTTCAAATGGTCTTCCCTGTACTAAATGAAAAAAAAATTTTTGGAAGTCAATTTACATCTTAGAAACAATTCACATAAAAACATGAAAATACCAATGAACCAAAATGTAGTAATATCCAATTACAAAGTTCAAGTGACTCTCTTAATATTGTCCTTTAAATGTAACTTTGATTTGTAGATATCTGTCTATAATAACAAACCGCTTTACTTTAGACAACTGTTCATTTTGCTTGTTATTGTCTACTGTTAACTATATATTCTGTGTCTGGCATAACATTATATACCAGGAATACAAATGGCAAGCAGAAACAGAACTGTGTCCTGCTGCTTTGTGGCAAGTAGCACAACAGACAGGCATTAATGCAATAATCCAAAATAAATGTAAAAGGAGTTGTGCAAAGTGCTATGAGAGGGAACTGTAACATACTATGGCCTTATATAATAGAGATCTCCCTGCAGTGAGAAAAGATCCTCATTGAAAATGTGAGGTAAAAGAAAAACAAATAAACAAAATGACTAAGGCCAGTAATGGCAAACCTTTTATAAACCAAGGGCCCAAACTGCACCCAAAGCCCACTTATTTATCGCAAAGTACCAATAGTGCAATTAAATCTGGATACTGATGAATTTTAGTCCAGAAAAAAACAACAGTTATCCAATGCTTGGCTGCTGGGACAACTTGGCTCACAGGCCACGAAAGAGGGCTCTGCGTGCCTGTTGCAGCACATGTGCCACAGGTTCTCCACTCCTGGATGAGACTCTATAGAAAAGAATATGCAGTGAAGAAAAACCAGCATGAGCAAAGTCTATGGTGGAAAGAAGTATGATGTTTTCAAGAAACTAGAAGGCTAATCTGTTTCACAAATGATGGAACAAGACAGTAAAGACAAAAATATGTATCTCATGAAAGGTTTAGAACTTTGTTCTGAAATAAAACTCATTCAAAGAATTAAAACTCAGGAAAGTGTTCAACATCAGCAGAATTCCACTTCAGAGAATACTCTGGTTGCGATGTGAGAATGGATTTAAAAGGCAATCAGAATGAAATTAGACCAGGTATGAACTATGGCAAAACTCAGGTAACAGATAACAATAATTTCAGTAAGACTAGTGGTAGTGAAAATGAAAAGTAGAAAATTCTTGAGACAAGAGGTAAAACAGAACTCAGAATTACAATGGATAGGAAGGTATAATAATGGAGAAAGTGTCAGATACAATTCTTGGATGTCAGCCTTCATAGCCAGAAGGATATTACTCACAGTAACAAGGAAAGCTGAAAGGGGAAACAGAACAGATAGAAGTTAGGATTTGATTTAACATGTATCAAACATAAAGTACCAAAAATTTCAAATAACAGATGCACAAATTTAATGTGTCTAATCACCCAAGAAACTATTATGAGAAGAATTTACAGGCCTGTAACTTGGATGAAGAAGGGCAATAGTATCTTGATTGACCAACATAGGCAACACAGGAAAAGAAGGAAGCAGGCTTTGTAGATTCAAGTATTCAGTTTGGGGAATATTAGAAGTGAGCAGACTGTAAGATATCTAAATCCAAAGCTCTGTAAAACAATGTGAATTGAAAATATATGTGGGTCATCAGTACATAAAAGAAAGCTGAAACCAAGGGCATAAATGAGAGCTTTCAGCGAAATTACAGGTGGATCCCCAATGGTACACAGAGTACAACAAAACAAAAGGAAAAAAGAGGAAAGAAATGTAATAAAAAGAAAGAACATGGTGATATTAAAATGTAAATGGGTCAAAGATCTGAATATTAAAACAGAAACACTAAATCTATTGGAAGACAAAATAGGTAGAAACCTTGGAGACATAGGAGTAGGTAAAGAATTCATGAACAGGACTCAAACCGCACGGGAAATACTTCCCAGAATCAATAACTGGGACCACTTCTTATTAAAAAGTTTCTGCATGTCAAAAGAAATCTCCAGCATAGTGAAAAGAAAACCCACAAACTGGGAAAAGATTTTAGTGAACTCTCTCTCAGACAAGGGCCTCTTGTCTAAAACATATAAAGAATTAAAGAAACTCAGACCTCCGAAATTCAAAGACCCAATCCAAAAATGGGCATCTGAGATGAATATGCAATTCTCAGATGAAGAAATGCAAATGGCAAATAAATACATGAAAAAATGCTCATCATCATTGGTCATTAGAGAAATGCAAATTAAAACCACACTGAGATACCATCTCACTCCTGAAAGAATGGCCAGGATCAAGAAAACCGACAACAAATGCTGGAGAGGCTGTGGGGAAAAAGGAACTCTCCTGCACTGCTGGTGGGAGTGTAGACTGGTACAGCCTTTGTGGAGATCTGTCTGGAGATTTCTCAAAAAGTTGGGACTGGAAATCCCATTTATTCCAGCTATTCCACTTCTAGGCATATTCCCAGAAGAACTGAAAGCATCATACCACAGTGATATATGTGCACCTATGTTTATAGCAGCACAATTTGTAATCGCCAGATCTTGGAAACAACCCAAGTGCCCATCAACTGAGGAATGGATAAAAAAGTTGTGGTATTTCTATACAATGGAGTATTATTCAGCTATAAAGAAGGATCACATTGAGATATTTATCAATAAATGGGCACAGCTTGAGACCATACTCATAAGTGAAATAAATCAATCTCGCATGTGTGAATACCGAATAGTTTCCCTAATGTAAGTAATGATTCAAATATATAAAAATATGTGGTAATCATGATTCCCCATTAGGTGGCCTTGAAGCCTTATAAAGTTTTCACTCATTAATTAGAAAGGCTTTATTCTGGGCTTCTTGATATGAAAATATTTGAAGCTAGAGTATATGAAGTTTTACCCAAATATTTCAAGGAAAAAGACACTATGGTAACTACTATTAAGTCAGGTTATAAGGTGGTGAAGTACTAGGTTATTGAAACAGTCATGCTGTGACCTCTATTGTTATATTGTTATGTCCTGTTTTATCTCAATCTCCCCCTTATTGTTTCAAAAAAAATTATTTAGTCATTTATGTTTGTCTTAATTAAAGAAAAAATTCAAAAAAAAAATAAATAAATAAATAAATAAAAAGAAAGAATGAAGAGAATGAACAGAAAGGAAAACGTATCAAGGGAATAACCCTAGGATATACAAATATTTAAGCAATAAGTCTAAAAAGAATTGAATAGGAGCATTAAGCATTTCCAAAAGAAGGAAAGGCAACTATGAAAAATAATACAGAAAACTGAAGTATAACATTTTGTCTAAAATCTAAATACTAGACTTGGCAATCAGATCAGTATTAAAACAATACGACTAAAATTTCACACGTGAACAGACCCACATCTTTTAAAACTACAAACCATGTCAGCCTTTTGAAAAACTAAAATGTCAAAAGCTATTAAAATTTAAAATGATATAATTTTTACTTAGCAATTTCATTTTTAAAAATCTGTCCCTTAAAGTAAAAGTATAACAGGACATATATGCAAGGATGTTCTTTATAACAGTATTTATGGTAGAGGTTACCAAGGAGGGTGAATCTAGGACTAATCTGATACTCAACGATAAAACAGTGGTTAAATAAGTCATGGTATACCCATATTATAAAATACTGAAACAGCTGATTACAATAATGAACTATATCCAGAGCATCTAAAATGGAGAAATGTACATAATTTACTGTCATATAAACAAGAAAAATACAAGTAATATATTAGGTATGTGCTCATTTTTGTTAAAAAAAATACATATACATATGATAAGCATGGCCAACCAACAAAGACAAAGTTTTTAAACCAATAAAACTTTAAAAATCTGTACTCCATAGAACAAAAACAGGACAGGACAACTATGAATATTTTCTCTATATTTCATTAGAGAAATATCTATATTGTTTCATTAATCTACACAACTGTTATAATTTTTGAAGAGGAATTTTTAAAATATAGGGCAAAATCAATTTTTATTGAAAAACAAGAACAAAAGTATCAAAAGTATTCAGAAGTAAATGAGATGTAAACATGGGAATGTGGACTAGTTTTTCAAGGAGTCTGGAGTAAAGAGAAGACGTTACAGGACAGGATGTAAAGAGGAACATCAGGCCAAAATAAAACCTATTTCTTTTAAGGTTAGAGAGATGGGTTTACTATACAATGCCAAAAAGCTACAGATGGAAACGTAAACATCAAAAGCAGAGAGAAATAACATGAAGCCTATCTCATAGGAAAGAGAAAATACACGTTGTCTGCTTTGAAACATTCTAATTTCTGTTAGAAAACATTAAGCTCCAAAGTATTTTTCACACAAATTACAGAAGGAACATGATAATTTAACTTACTATGGATCACTGGACAACTTCCAAAATATCTTATAAAAAGATTTACATCCAGAGCAGCACTAGAAAGAATTAGTTTCAAAGTTGGATGCTTTTGCAACAAATCTCTTAACTTTGTAAGTAAAAAATCACTAAATCGATCCCTTTCATGCACTTCATCCTACAATGAACAGAAACACAAAGCCACAAAAGTTAAATTTTATAGAGGCCTACGTCTTTAAAATAATAGCACCGCTGCATTTACACTAATTCAAATTAAATATGGACAAACTCAATCAATATTAGTAAAAATGTTGTACTATGGATAATCTGTATACAATCAGGTTTCATCAACTTACTGCAGACGATAAAGTATTTCCGATAAAATGTAAAGCTACACAAACTATAAAAAATTTCAAATTATAGGATAGGAGTCTCATTTCTAAATATAAACAATTTAAATGGCTTCTGTTGGCATCAGAGCTCAGGCACATCCTTTAGTTTGGGTAAGTTTCTAAAACCTGCTTATTAAAAGCCTATAAAACTTAAGCTAGGGGCTGGGGATTTAGCTCAGTGGCATAAGCGCCTGCCTTGAAAGCAGGCAGTCGTGAGTTCGATCCCTGGTACCGATAAAAAGGAAAAAGACAAAAAAAAAAAAAAAAAAAAAAAAAAAAACTTAAGCTAATGTTTTTCTGATATAAACTAGATAAAAGCTTAAAATTGTTTAATAAAGGGAATTCATCTTATTTTATCATGACATAACTAATTTAGCAGCTTAACCATGAAGTTGGATGACTGTAAAATAGTACATCCTCACAACTAGGAAACATAATACAAAAGGGATCAGGTGACCAAGGACAGATTTAAAACTATTTTTTTCTACAGAATAAATAGTTTTACATGCATCATTTTCATACAAGAAAATCATATTTTTAAAACTACTGCTTTGTTTTCTTTTTTCCCATAATGCCCAATGGTTAAGACTACCCTTATTTAATACAAAATATTTCTAATTATTATTTTTAAAAACCTAACTATAATAGCCTCTTTAAAATAGGATTTTGCTCCCATTTTACCATCTTTTAAAATGCAATTATGAAAAATTAGCAGGACATATTATAGTAACTTTTTTGAATTCCTATTAACTCGATTTGAAGTCCTGTATTGCTCTCACCATCTTGTTTTGACTGATTTTACTCTATTCTGTTTTGTTTGATAGTATCAAGTTTGAGGGTATAGGCAACTACTTTGAAGGCAATAAGATTCACTATGATGCCCATTCTGGTTTGACTATTATCTTCTTTTGAAGTCCTGTAATGTCTCCAATGTTTAGGTTTTATTGGTTTTGTTCTGTACTGTTTTGTTCAATTTTATTATACCTGATGATATAGGCAATTCTTTTTAAGGTAGCAAGAGGCATTATGGTAACTATTGTTGATTACCCTGTATTATGTTTTTACATCATGTACTATGCCCATCCTTTGTTTTGACTGACTCTGCTTTGTTTTGTCACATTTGGTTTTATTCTCTTCCAAAAAACAAAAGTAATAAGAACTGTGGGAGTAATAAAACCCAAAATGTGGAATTGTTATTGTAAAAAAGAGAGGAAAAGAAAGTGCTCTAAAGGATACAACTGCAAGTGTGTTTAGGTGTGTAAGATAGATGACCATATTACTAAGATTTTGATGGATCATTGAACACAACTGTTTGCAGTCTCACTGTTTGAATGTCCACTTTGTAATGTTTTACTTTTGTAACTTGAACAACTATTTCTAAGATGACAATATGTAATCTATTAACTAGTGATTTCTTACTGTTTCTTTTTGAAATTCTGTATTACTTGTACCCTTTTACTGTTTGTTTTCTTTAAATAAAAATTTTAAAAAATGTAATTATGTACTTAAATGTCACACAATCTAAGTTATATATGACAAATTCATCAATATCCTTACCACAATAACATGTGTCACAGTTGACAATGTGCTATCACCTGCCATCAATGTACGAAGCAATACCCCATTTGTGCAAAATGTCAGAAGTGTCTTTGGAGAAACCCTTTTTAAAGAATAAAGTAAACAATTACAAATCTTTTCTGTAATTAAAATATAATCACTTTAAATGCTGGTGCTATATATTTGAATAAATATTACTAATATAACAGTGTGCTAGTATATATAGCTTACTAACAAAATTATATGAAATACACATTTTATGCCCTATAATCTTCACAAATTATTTCTAGTAGCTTTTTATTAACTAAGTAATGTAATTTGTTAAAAAAAAAAAACTTAGGCTTTTAAAACAACTTTAAAAACATTTCACTTGCAAAGAATACATAAGTGTAATCAATATTTTAATCACTATTTTAAAAAATACAGCTGGGAAGGCATCTTAGCAATAAAGCACTCACCTGGCTTATATAATTCCCTGAGTTGGATTCCTAGCACTACAATACACTCACACACACACACACCCACACACACACACACACACACACACACACACACTCACTAGCACTCCTTGTTAAGAAGCTATTTCCAGTCCTACTGCAGATTGAGCATCCTTAATCCAAAAAGACAAAATCTAAAGTGCTCAACAAGTTTCAGACTTGAAAGCATTTCAGATTAAGGCTACTCACCCAGTAAACTGTCAACATTACCAGATCTGGAAAACTCCAAAATTTGATACAGTTCTTGTCCCAAGCATTTGGTAAGGAATATCAATTTGCATACCAATGACATTAAAACTCAGTAAAATTAATCGATTTTTATAAGTTCACATCAAACTTGGATTCCATATGTTTTGAGTCTCATTCTATAGGGGCTCAAACTGAGGTGAAATAACTTGATCATGAAACTATGAAATGGGATTTGTATCTCAGTCAAAAATCTTTCAGATCACTTAGTTGAAACCTCAGTAAGTTACAACATGATTTTAACATCTCAATATAGAATTACATTGAAAAAAAATTGACTTTTCAACTAACACATTGACTATATCTAATGAAAGATACATTTCATCTAGAAATAAAACAAAAAATAGAACTGTCTTTACCTGCTTTCCAATCGAATCTGATATCCAATTGTTTGACCAATTCTTTCCCTTCTCTCGGCAGCAACTCTTTCAGCCACAGCAATAGCTGCTAATCGTCTCGGCTGAGTACAAAATATACGGCACGGGATACCATTTTTAAAGCAATCATCTAAAAGGAACTGAGGAATCTGAAACAGAGTTTTTAAAATATAAAATGACAAGTATTTTGCATACCTCGAAAACCCAAGTGAACCAACTGTAAAAAAAATTAAAACTAGAGAAGTTCTATAATATTCCCAAATAGAAATAACTCATATAGCCAGTAATAATAAGCTAAAAACATAATTTTAAAACATCTTGTGCACAATGGTCTTTTGCATGTTATTGATTGATTGCTAACTATTAAACAGTGTTGTACTGAACATCTATCTTAACATGCTTTTACAAAGATACAAATCACTAGCAGCAGAAATGTTTGGAGTATGCATTCCAGAACTTGGAAGGCTGAAGTCAGAGAATTGCCATGAATTCAAGGCCGGCTTGGGCTACATAGTGAGTTCCAGGCGAGCCTGAACTACACAGCATGACCCCATCAAAACAAAAAACAAAACAAAACCAAAAAAATGAAATGTTCAGAGTACAATCATCAAAGTAAAACAATTTATATTCTTATCAACAAAAGAGAAGGGCTGTTTGTCAATACCCTGAGAAATATAGGATCCTTTTTTAAAAATTTCTGTCAGTCTGAAGGCTTATGCACCTTGATTTTCACTTCTTTAAATGTAAGTAGAAAAAAATCTTTTCACGTATTTCTTCACCTATAGGATTCCTTTTAATTAACTAGTTCATCCAAACACATAAATATGTAAGAACTACCAAGAAATATTTTTAAAGTACATAACTTTAAAACTACACAAAGTCAAAGGTGAAAAAACAATCTGAAAGAGAAATAAAAAGTTTTACTCATGGAAGAGTAAAGATAATTACTTATGACTTCTCAAACACAGGCAAGACTTCTCTCCTTAGACCAGGCAAGCAAGACAGAAATAGAGCGAAATAAAATACTGAAAAGATCCACCAACCTAAAGTTCTATACCTTGCAAAATTATCCTTCAAAAATGGAAGCAGTAGTATCTTCTCAGGTACATAAAAATTGATGGAATTTATTACCAGTAAACTGTCTAACAAGAAATGCTCAAAAAAAAAGTTTTTTAGAAAAAAGCAAAATGAAAAATAATATAGGCCGAGGAACTCAAATCTTCATGAAAAATGGAAAAAATATCAAGAATAACTAAATGAAGGTAAAATTAAAACATTTTTCTTATTCTTAATTGACCTACTAGGCAACAGTTTGTTCAATAGTAATAGCAGCAATGTGCTTGATTACTTAGGTTTATGTACATATCTTATGTTGGAAGGGGATATATATATATATATATATACACACACACACACCTATGTATAAGTGAAATGAATGACAAGAATAAAGGACAAGAGGCAAGGATTAGGATTGTTACATGACATACACAGCCTGTACCTGGTATAGTGTCACTTAAAAGTAGACTGGATTAGCTGCAAATGTACACTGAAAACCAACTCTACGACTACCACTCAAAAACATAAAAGATAATAAAGAATAATTTATATTATATTTTGTAAACTATTAAAGTAAAAAGCAGGATCCTGGTGCAGGAAAAGAAAATGAGATTAGAAATACATATTAAAAATTCCAGAAATAGACCTATAAAAAATGACTTTAAAAAATGGTTTCTTAAATTAAACAAAATTTATGTTTGAAAGATCAGACACTGACATAAAGAGTTATGATACAATGAAATAAATTCCTCTTGAATTATTTATTTATTTATTGGTACTTGGAAGCAAACTCATGATGTGGATTTTTTAAATAAATTTATAGGAAAAAATTTTTACCTACCTTAGCATAGCCTCAACTCTTAAAAAAAAGGTCAATGAATTCAACTAAATAAAAATGTAAATGGTGGAACAAGATACCATTAGCAAGACTAAAAGTCAAACAAAAATCAGGAGAAATTATTTTTAAATATTTAACAGGTAACAGGCCCATATCTATAACATATATAAAAATATTTTTAAAAATAAATTCAATATAAATAAGCCAAAAGAAAACTAGGATATAAAGAACTCACAAAGATAACTTGATAATAAGCAAACAAATAAGATGAGTGACTCAAGTCTCTCAGGACCAATGAAATGCTAATTAAAACATTTTTACTTAGACTGGTAAAACACATACTAAATACTAAATGTATACACATACATGCACACAACACACACACACAGAGATATATCTATAATATCTTTTTTTTTTTTAAAGATCCATTCTTAGGGGCCAGCAATATAGCTTAGCAACATGGTCATGGTGCCTGCCTGACAAGTACAAGGCCCTGAGTTTGATCACTGGTACCAAAAAAAAATCCATTCTTCACCAACTTTAGAGAATAATACTTCAGTATTATTTAACATATTCTTTTCAAAGTTATTTTACCATAAGTAGTTCTATAGCTATAAAAATTGTAATCATAATACCCTTCATCTGGGATTTACCCCTCTAGGATTCATCCAAATAAAACTTCAACGAATAAGCAAGAAATATTAGGATTCAATAAAAGACAGTAAGTACAATATAAAAATAAGATTCCTGCTCTGCCAATTCCTATTTCTGTAAACAAAGACAGGTTAACATCCATAAATTTTAGTTTTTAATCTTTATCAGTAAAAAGAGGTAATAAAATCTACATATTCCAGGGATACGGAAAGGCGAAAATGTGACAACTACTATAAGAATGCAGCACACAATAAACATTCTTTATCATTATGAATATATTCAGAAATACTATATGATTGTCTTTAAAAAATGAGGTATAGGGGCTGGGGATTTAGCTCAGCGGCATAAGCGCCTGCCTTGCAAGCAGGCAGTCATGAGTTCGATCCCTGGTACCGATAAAAACGAAAAAGACAAAAAAAAAAAAAAAAAAAAAAAAAATGAGGTATATCTCTAGCTACTGACATGAGAAAAATTCAACTTCTACTAAGCAAAAGAAGATAAAAAATGTACATATCTTATTATCCCACATTTGTTTTTAAAAAATATATATCAATATTATAATGAAATGTTTTAAAAGACCTATCTGTATCAATGCTATGAAAAGAATAAAAACAACAAACACCTCCCACAAAAAATTAGAAATATATTCCAAATTTCTGACAATAATTCAGAGAGATACAGGAAAAGAATTACAGTTCACTTTCTGTGTAACATTTTCCACATGCTTATACTTTACATAATAAACATGAATAAAGGGGGAAAATTCAATGCATTTAACTCCTTCATACCATTAAAGGCAAGATGAAGTTGGCCAATGATATTATTTTATATTTCAGACAGTAGAAACATTGGTAATTTTAATTCTACTCTTTCAACAAGATTATATTATATTGAAACCCATTAGATTAATAGTTTCTTCTTGAAAAACAAAGTAGATACTTACTAATGAAATTCTAAAATATCATTTCATACTTCATAAAATGATAACATAATTGTGAAAAAAGACATCCATAATTCCAATATCCTAGTATCATAAAAGACACAATTTAAATTGGATGCAGAGGCACATGTCTAAAATCCCAGCTACCTAGGAGGCCAAGGCAGGAGGATCATAAAATTCAAGCCCAGCCTAGGCAACTTGAAAAGATTCTGTCTCAAAATAAAACAAAAAGGGTTGAAAATGTAGCTCAGTCATGAGGCCTTGGGTTAAGTTCCCAGTACTGCAATAATAATAATTGTAATATTAGTAAAATAAAAGCATTTTTATCAAAACTTCCATATTTAATCTCCATTCTACATTGTAATTAAAACTGCTATGATTAATATCTAAAGTTTAATCTAATAATGGTAACAATGTAAGGCATTGAAACAGTTTTAAATTGATTCCATGTTATTTTACTTAATCATACCAAGACTGATGCTGAAGAAAAATATAGTCTCTAGTTTAAAATGTCACTACATTTTTAATGAGTTTTATAGGCTCAAGTTTAATGATGCTTATTCTGTGAAAATGGCCAAATTCTACAAGCTAGTATCTGTCATGTTTTGCTATAATCCCCAAAAGTTTGTGAATAGGAAACTTAATTAACAAATTATCTTGTTGATGTGTTTGGAGATGGAGACTTTCAAAGGTAAATGGAATCGGATAAGGTCATGAGAGTAGGCCCCCTAAGATGACCTTCGTGGATTTAGAAGAAAGACATTTACACAAGCATACTTGTTCTGTCTTACCAAGTGATCCTGTCTACCGTATCATAATACAGGAGAACTCTCATTAGATGCTGATGACACACTTCTGGACTTAGCAGACTTTATTAGCTAAAGAAACTTTTATTCTTTATAAGTGATCCAGTCTGTAGTAGTGGTAAAAACAACAGAAAGTGAGCTAACATATTCTACTACATCCTTACCTAAGGACAAAATTTATGAAAGCAACCAATATAACCATAAGAAATTTTAGCCTATTTTTTAAAAACACATTTTTTCTACACACCAAATCTGCAAATATATTTTATCTGAGCCTGTACCAAAAGCAAATTAATTTTAATTTTAAACCACAAAGGAAAAACAAACCTGTGTGGTCTTTCCAGACCCAGTTTCTCCTACAATCAAAACTACTTTATTTTCCTTAATTATTTTAACAATTTCTTCTTGTTTCTCAAACACTGGTAATGACTGCCTGAATGAATCAAATTCAGATTCTCCTCTTTTCACAGGTATTTGAGGTATGCCATTGTTGAGTCGTCCACTGGTTTTGCTCATTTCTCGGTTTTCTTTGAGAATAAAAAAATAAAAAAGACTATGATCTACACTGAAACAGAAGTGTTAAAGATAAACATAATAATTTCTATATAATTCCTTTCAGGTGTTTCTTTTCTGCTCAGTCCATATAAAGTTAGCAAGCAATGCCAGCTTATAGAATATGTTAGAAATGTTAGCATCAATCACAAAGCAAACCTCTCAAAAGCACTTCTAATACATAATATATAAAAATGAATAAAAATCCATCAATAGCTTGTTAAAAAGCAAGAATAATTTTTAGACTAATTATATTCAGGTTTTTCACATGATTATCAGCAATGTCACAGAAAATTAAAATTTTAAGTAGAAAAAATGTATCTTATAAGAACTGTTATATACAATATGAAAACACATTGCAAAAAAAGAAAATGTTTAAAATTATACATGTAAGAGCAAGTTATACAAATAAAATAGAATAACATGTAATGTCTAAGCATTATGTTCTAAAACAATGTATCTTATTTGAGGATTTAGCCAACATTCAAATTTAACTAGGCAGGTACTGCAGAAATAAAGAAAGCATATTCTATATTCTGCATATAGCTCAAAAAGTATGCCTGTACTTAAAACAAGTGATTTGATACATACTTTCTAAATGCTGTAGACCTGCTCTAAGAAGCAATAATTATGTAAATGGTTACTAGAGGCAATAAAAAATATTTTTCTCACCATGAAGTTATTTTTCAAATAGTAAAATGACAACTTCATCTTACAAACTAAATGTATTATTTATCACTTTTGCCCCCATCCCTTAGCAGAAGCTAAAGCTCCAATTCAAAATCTTAATCATTAGTGTATTTTCAAAGTGTAATACAGGAAAGTTCAGACTTTGGAGTAAACTCCCAACTCTTCAGTTTACTGGTTGGTTGAGTGACTCTGAACAAGTTATTTAAATTCCTTGAGTTTCAGCTTTCTCAACAGTGAAATAAAGAAAAATTTTACCTTGCTAAGGGTTCTATAAGGCCTTACATAAAAGGTTAATATATTGCTTACCACAGTAAGTGCATCATACATAGTAACTATCATTCTAAAACTTAAAAAAAAAATCTAGTCCAACTCCATGACATGCACTAATACTGCACTTGGTTCTCAAAATTTCCATAACTCTTAATCATTTCTGACAAATTTTTATACAAGAAAATTTGTTTCATTTCACATTAGTCTTTTTAAACAAACCTAAAATGGAAAAAGAACAGTCATCAAAGTACGGGGTAAACAAGGAAGCTCCATAGAAAATACATACCAGCTTCAACTGCAAACACATTTCCTCTTTCTGTTTTAGGTAGAAGTTCAGTACGCTCTTTATTTGTGACAGGAAATCTCTGAATTAGGCTCCTAACAGCATGTTTTGTATTATGAGTCAAATTACAGGTCATCATCGCATGAGCTGTTTCTGATCCATCTTTCTTCTTCACAGTTAGGTATCTATTTGCTCCCTTTCTAAATATTAATAAAAATCATTTATTTACTATATGTAATCAATTTGTTTACATATAATGTATACCCACTTAGAAAATACAAGCAAAACATTGAAAAAAATCAAAGTGTTTTGTAGACTCAAGAGACTACAAGGCTTTTTAGTTAAAATTTCAAAATGCTGCAAATCTAATTTTAAGTAAGTAAAAGGCTTACTTACCCAGAACTACTAAAGTTTGTCTTTAGCTAACTTCACAGTAGATTAACATTACCAATTAATACATGCTGGGAAGTAGGGGGGTTGCAAAAAAAATGAAAAATAATAATGAAAAATTTATAGTTGACTCTTCAGATTAGTATATTCCACTAAATGTTTCCATAGTATATTGGCTAATGTCACACTCCTGTGAAAACCCATTAATACAGTCAGTTTTAGAGGCTGAACCAGAAATGCATAAAGGTCCTTTATTAACAATTATATAAGGCACTTTTCTTTAACAAAATAAAGTTTTAAAACTTCTGATTCTACTCTTCAATTATAAGACAATGACGACCTAAACTTTTATTTACTGGAGGTCTGTTCTTCAATTAATATAGACCTGATTGTATCTTTTATGACTTTTGCAGCTCCCAGAAATCTAGGTACAATGTTGCACACACAGCAAACCTCCAAATGTTTTGATTAATTTAATAATAATACATTCCTATAACCTAGCAATATAGTACTGGTTAACAGCTCAAGCTGTGAAGGCACACAGACCAGAATTGGAATCCCAGTCCTAACATTTACTAGCTTGTAAAACTATAACCAATTATTTAATGGCCCTAAGACTGAGATAAAAGAATATATATTTCAAAGGACCATTCATATGATTAAGATGGTGCCATGTAAAGTATAGCAGCTCTCATAGAATAGGTTCTAAATAAATGAAAGCTATCACAATTATAATCAGGGAAAATATCATTTCTTAAATTTAAAAAAAAGTATACAAATATTTTACAAAATGCTTTACAATTTTTTACTATCATAATATAAGGTATTATAAAAATAAGCAATAGTCACAAATATAATGAAAATTAAAAGCACGATTTTATAATTTTCCCAGATTTTCATTAGGTTGAAATCTATCAACAATATCTTTACTGTAGGAAGGTATTAAATCAGAAATTAATGTATACAATTTTATTTATATGTCTTTTAAGTGAGGCTTTCATTTTACCAAAATATTTACTTTCTAGAAATTCCTTAATGAATTTCTTTAAAGAATTAGAAGATTTCCATGTATCATCAATTCTTTGAAAAGTGTTCAGTCATACTTTAAAGTATGAAATAAAAAAGTTAAAACTTAATCTGATCTAAAAATTTTAGTTACTTCCATGATAAATCAAAATTACTGAATCATAGAGACATTCTCTATAGTGGGTTCTTTTCCCATGGACATTTCAGAAACTCCACAATAAATACCTGCTACAGATTCATCATTCTCTGTGTGGTTCATGTCACAAAAGTTTAACTGCAGAAGGATACTGAAACTACTGCTAGAACAAAAAGCAACAGACTACTGTTCATTTAGTAATACTTTTTCAACTAATTATATGACCAAAATTAAATTGTTTTATTTCTCTAACAGTGTATACAGCCTAATAAAGCCTATAATCCATCCGGCAATTCCAGATTTTCTTAAAAGTTATCTCAGGAAGGTTTACATTTCCTCTTTAACTAATTTTCTATTATTCATTTAATTATTTACCATGTATTATCTGAGCATCTACTATCTGCCATATGGAAGAAACTGAGATTATAAACTAAAATACACACTCTTCCTCAACAAGCCTACTGACAAAATAATGGATCAAATAGAAAATTTCTTAACACAAGTTGCCTAATACAGTATTTGTACATAAAAATAATTCATATAAAGCAAGTTTAAATATATAGTCATTACCATGTAAAATTTACTGAATTCAACATTAGCACAGCTGATAGGGCAAAAAGATATCATTTATCTGATATGCTTGTTTTAGTAAAAGATTCAACCTCTGGCTATTACTAGTACCTGTTCCTATTACATTTACTACTACAGTGTCAATGCTATGATACCATTCTAAGGTAACTGATATAGTTCAGTGGAAAAGCCCAAGCTTAGTATGTGCAAGGTCTTGGATTCAGTCCCTAGAACTCGTCCCTGCCAATAAAAAAAAAAAAAAAAAGAAAACAATATAACTAAAAAAAAAAAAACAATGTAACTAATCAAATTTAATAGTTTTAATATTAATCAAATTGTCAACTTAAAGACCATATTACTGTTTAACTCAATAATCATGTCTTAGTATGTTCTACTTCCCAAATCAAATAATTTAAAAGAGCAGGTAAAGAGCCAAAATGACTCAAAGAAAATGACTACTTAAAACTGACAGCCACTAAGGAGTTACTGTTTCTAAAAAACCAAATAGTTAATTTACTGTCTCCACTTATATTTCCATTAGGCAGATAAATGCCAAAATTTAGCTCTGGATCATGTTCCCCCCAGTGGTGTAACATAGATTTACAATTAACTATTAGAGTTTGCATCATTCTAAGTTGAACTTTTTTATAGCTACATAGAATATAATAAAGTAACCAATTAACTATTTTGTCACTAAAATGAACATGGCTGCTTTCCTGTGGCACCACATTATGTGGTAAATACGATGCTCTTAGTGAGACATAAGTAACCTGAAGATAAGTCTATCTAATATTTTTGTTAAGACTCCTCATAGGGCTCAGTTCCACTAATATACACTCACAGTGAACCATAAAAATAATTAGCTAAACATTAAGAGTGTTCAAATCCTGGCTCTGACATTTGTTAGCTATGTAATCTGATTTGTAGCTATGTGATCTGATGTGATGTGATTTGTAGGCTTTACCTGCCTACAAATATTATACAGGTATAATATAGGTTATACAGGTATCAGATGTTATTAACAGAACCCATCTTACAAAACTATTGTAAAGTTCTAATGTTAACCATTAAATCCTGCCTACGGTTATCTTTGAACACAGCAGCATTTCTTTTTCAATGAATATCTAAAAATTTATTGAGTTCACTGTTTTAAAAAATCCATTTTTCCTCGGGGGATAATGGGGAAGCATGAAACCTTTGGAGCAGGAAGTAAGGGACATACTAACCAAAATATGAAAAGAGTTTTTCTTGTGTTGTGGTAGAGAGATTAGCCTCTTTAAACTTTATTACTAAGAAAACAGGTTTCCAAAGTGAAAGGACTAGCCAAAGACTCTAGATTAATCACATTCAGTTGTGCAGCAGGATACAAAGTCAACACATGAAAACCAGTAAGTTCCACAATATGAATAATAAAATCATCAAAACAAATTTAGAGAAATAATACTGTTCACAATAACATCCAGGAACAGTAAAATACCTAGAAAGTAACTAATCAAGGATGTGAAAGTCCTCTACGACAAAAACAACAGTACTCTGAAAAAATTAATTTAAAGAAGATGTTAGAAAATGGGTATCTCCTGCTCCTGGATGGGCAAAACCAACATAAAACAATACAATCCTGGGTAAAATAACCAAAGCAAAAGGCACCACAATTTTGGACTTAAAGTTATACTACAAAGCTATGGTGATAAAAGCAGCATGATATTGGGGGGAAAAAGATATGTGGATCAACAGAAGATAGAGAAACAACTTCAAGCACATTCAGCTACCTGATCTTTAACAAAGGGACCAAAAACTTACTCTGGAGGAAAGACAGCCTCTTTAACAAAAGATGCTGAGAAAACTGACTATCCACATGCAGAAGAATGAATCTAGACTCATTTCTCTTACCATGTATAAATTAAAATCAAAATGGTTCAAAGATGTAAATATTAACATTGGAATACATAATCTAGGAAATAAAACAGGTAAAATTCTTAAGGCACAGGCACAGGTAAGGGCTTTTTGAACAGAATCGCTACTGCATAAGAGAACACCTAGAATTGATAGTGAGATCAAATCAAATTAAAAAGCTTCTGCAGAGCAAAGGAAACAACCAAGAGTAAAGTGACAACCCACAGAATGGGCAAAAAATTTTGCAAGCTTTTCCTCAAAGGACTAACACGTAAAACACACAAAGAATTACAAAAAGTAGAATCCTCTCCCCAAAATAGAAGACCTGATTTAAAAAAAAAAAAAATGGGCAACTGAAATGAACATTTCTCAGAAGAAGAAATAATCTGGCCAATAAATACATGGGGGGGGGGGATTGTTCGCAATGGAGTACTACTTTGCCATAAAAAAGAGTAAATGATTCATTTGTAGGAAAATGGATGCACTCTGAGTTCATAATGTTAAGCAAAATAAATCAGATATATAAGCTTAAATATCACAGTTTCTCTTACATGAAAAACCAAAACTATAACTGAAGATCAAAATAAAAGACAGCTATTAGAAAAAAAGGATATGGATGGAGGTGGGAAAGGAAGGGAAGGGAAGGGAAGGAAAGGGAAGGGAAGGGAAAAAAGTACAGCTAGGAGGGAAAAGAGGGGAGTATGTAAAAAGAAATAAGCTGTGTTACATACATGCATCAACTCCTCACAATGAATGTAATCTTTATGTACTGCAAACATGTACTAATAAAACTTAAAAAGAAAAAAAATGAAGGACCTAACCAAAGCTAAAGAATGAGAAAACGGGAGTCTTAAAATAGAAATCAAGTATCCTGATCTGTACTCATACCTAGTTGCTTTTAAAATACGTATAAAATATACTTAATGCTACAGTATACGAAGTTGTACTCAAGGATTTCAAGGAAAGAGACAATATGGTAACTACTTTTAGGTCAGGATTATCTGGTGGTGAAACACTATTCTGCTTAAATGGTTATGTTTTGATCTGCGCTGTTTCGTTGTTATGCCCTCTTTTATCTCAATCTCCACTCCATTATTTACTTTTTTATCTTTATCCTTTTAATTAAAGGAAAAAAAATAGCAGGATATATTATAGTAACCCACTTTGACTTTCCATTACCTCGATTTAAAGCCCTGTATTACTCTCACCATCTGGTTTTTAACTGATGTTCCCCTATTCTGTTTTGCTGGATAGTATCAGGTTCGAAAGTTTAGGCATCAGCTGTGAAGATAATGAGATTCATTATAGCGCCCATTCTCGTTGACTTTTATCTACTTTTGAAGACCTACAATGTCTCCAATGTTTTGGTTTTGTCGGTTTTATTCTTTACTGTTTTGTTCAATTGTATTATAACTAACGATATAGGCAATTCTATTAGAGATAGCGGGAGGCATTATGGTAACCATTGTTGATCACCTTGTATTATGTTTTTATATTATCTATTATGTCCACCCTTTTGACTTGACCGATTCTGTTCTGTTATGTCACATTTGGTTTTACTCTCTTCCAAAAAAGTAGTAAGAACCGTGGGAGCAATGAAACCCAAAATGTGTAATAGTCATGGTACAAAAGAGAGGAAAAGAAAGTGCTCTAAACTATATAACTGCATGTATATTTAAGTGTATAAGATAGAAAATGATATCACAGAGTTTTATTGGATCATTGAACAGAACTGTTTGCAGTATCATTGATGGAATGTCCACTTTACAAGCTTTAATTTTGTGACTTGAACAATTATTTCTAAGATGACAATATGTAATCCATTAACTAGTGATTTCCTACTGTTCACTTTTTTTTCTGTAAATCTGTATAACTTGTACCCTTTCTCTGCTTTTTTTTTCTTTTCTCCTTAAATAAAATTTAAAAAAAATAAAATAAAATACGTATCAATGAACCATAATACCAGGCACAAAAATAAACAAAAAAGATAAGCTAACTAGGTAAGTCAATGAATTAATGCTACAAGATTAAAAAAAAAGCATGAGAAGTCAGTATAAATTCTTATACAAACGAAAAGAACTTAAGATATAAATTCAAAGTGACTTTGTTCATTTAAAAATTTTTAAAAAGGAAAAGGATTTGAAAATAACAAACACCACCACATAAATACTATACAAAATCTGCTCAAAGATCAAAAGGACATCAAAAGGACTAGGACATTTCATAACAAGGTTTGTGTCTTTAACATTATAGGTGTTAGATTCTAGGTAAATGGTAAATAAGCACCATTGCCTTGCTTCCCTTACTAACGCTTTCTTTCCTTTTCTTGTCTTTTCAATGTTTTCTAATTCCCCTCTGCCTTTTTTTGTTGTTGTAGTTTGGTACTGCGACTTGAACTCAGGGGCTGTACTGTTGAACTACATCCTGGGTTCCTCATTTTCCTTCTTGTCTTGATGAATTTCTTGTTCACTCCTTTCTCAAATGTTTCTGTATTCTAGGTTGTTCCTTAAATGACCATGCTGAGGCAATGTGTAGCTACTAGACAGAAGTACAGGCAGTGTATTCCCAAGGTCTGTTCTAAGATCATTCTTGAAGTCTGCTGTTTAGAATTTAAGACTATAGCAATGACATGGTTAAATGGAGGGAGGGGGGGATCGACCTCATGACCTTGCACTTGCCAAGTAGGCACTTAACGCTGCTCTGCTAAACCCCCAGTTATAATTGTGCATTCTAAATAGTTGTTTCCAACAGAGGCCAAAAACCTCTTACTTACAATTCTAAAATTCAAACTGTTCTGAAAACCGGAAACTTTTTGTAAGCATGAAGCTATCTATTTATCCTAATTAAACTGGAGTGAAGTTATTAAGTCTTTACCTTGGTATAAATATTTATACATTTTCTAGTATAAATATTAATGCAATTAAAAATGATTCCCATGCCTTATTAGGACACTATATAACATATTGTAAACACATCCTAATATCTTATTAGACTCTGAAATATCTGAATCTCAAAACATGTTTGGCCCATGTATTTTTGGATAAAATTCTGTGTGTTTTCACTTTCAAGTATAGCAGTTTTACCTGTCCAATGGACTATATACAAGTAATATGTGCAGCTCAATAATTTAACCACTGTTGTAGCACTGGCCTTAAAGATGAAAATACACACTGACCTAACCTAAGTTCCCCTCAGGCAGTAATCAGGCATTCATATATGTAAGACATCTGAACATCAGCTACTTTCATGTTAGGACCATGTTTTTGTTAACATTTTCTCAATAAAGTGTTGTTTTCCCTCTTTTCAACCTAAAAACAGGTAAGCTGAAATAATATCATTTTTCCTCTCTTTATCAGTGGGTCTCAATCTGGGCAATTTTCCTCCACAGGGAACTTTTAGCAATGTTTAGAAGTATTTGTAGTTGTTCAAGCAGTTTTCTTTTAATCTCTTTTTTAAAAAAAAGAAAAAGAATTTGCTAAATCCCCAGCTTGGAGCAAGACTTGAGGGAAAAAGCTGAACTTGATACAGACCTGAATGAGTTTATCTGCATACAATATAATTAAGAATGTAAAACTAAGACTATAACTATTGGAAGATACATTTATATTTTTTAATAATCTTTTTTTTTTTAAGTAGGAAAAACTATCAGCTCACCCTTTACTTTTAGAGACCAAACCAAGAGACTGACTCAATCGATGAATAAAGGCTCTTTCAGTACTGGTCAAAGAAGAAGGAAACTCCATTTCTGCAGAGAAGAAAAAAAGAAAGTACTATCTGTGGATAAGTAATTTTCTTTCAAGCAATACACAATTTGAAAAACATTTACAAGCATATAATCAAGTCTGTTCTACTTTATATGAAAAGAAGATATCCGGGCCGGGGATATAGCTCAGCGGCGCAAACCTGGCAAGCCCGAGATTGTGAGTTCGATCCCCAGTACAAAAAAAAAAAAAAAAAAAAAAAAAAAACATTCAAAGTAACAATGCAAACCAGAATTCTAATTTTTTAATGTATTAATCCTAAAAATAATAAAGAACTACGACATCACCAAAAAATTATTTGTGCTGGAATCTTGAGTTGTTATAATTACTGATGAGCATATTTAGTACTATTTTAATTTAGTTCTTACTTGCTTAATTAACAAAAAACTGTGGCACACCTGCAATCCCAGCACTTGGAGGTGGCAAGAAGGATTGCTGTAAGTTTGAGGCCAGCCTAAATTACATAGTGACAGTCGTTTAAAAACAAACAAAAAATTAACAGAAAGCTTATTTCTTTAATGAGGTCTGCTCAAGGTTTATGAATTTTCAAAATGAAACTCCATTGCCTTTGCTTCCAAAACCGTATGAATTCATATTTCACTACTTCAGGCTAGGTTTACTGTTACCCAGCGCTGAGGCTTTGCCTCTGTTTTAAGTTCAAAATCACTTAGTCCAGGTCAGGTCCGAGTCTGGACTGTAAAAAAGTTTCTTTTAACTAAGCTACCAAACCGAAATTAGAATTTAATATGCTATAGACATACCACAGGCCAGTAGTTGGCCTTGTATTACATGACCCAAGAGGAAGACGCTTTGTATGCCAAGTAAAGTATTTGGCATGATGCTTCTACGATTTAAACAAACCACTGTGACCTGCATGTTCACATGTCTGATTTTCTTCCACTTTTATACGCCTGTAGCTTCAACGCACCTTATTTAAGGCGACCCCTAGAGCAGCTAACCAACAATTAAAAGACCATAGGCTTAGCCGCCATAAGGTGGTGAAAAAGGTCCAGTCCAGAGCAACCTGACCTTTATTCGCAATGCCAGACAGAGGCCCCCTATCCCCGCCGACCCTCGAGAACTTGTAGGTTCTCGCATTCCCAACCTGGCCAGGCGCGCGCTCCCTGGAGGACCTGCTGGGCGCCCCCTTCCCGTCCCGTGGTGGGTCCGCTCCGCGCCAGGCTGGGTCGGGTCCGGTGGGAGAGCGACAGGCGAAGGGCGAGCGCCGCGGGGGCCCGTACGAAACCTCACCTCTCTGGTCCCCGTATCGGAAGCGCTCCAGAGCAATATTAACTGCGATCTTCACCTCCTCGTCGATACGAATATCCTTCAGCCCCTTGGCCCGGCGGCCGCCCCCAGCACCACAGGCGACAGGGCCGCCGCCTCCGCCTCCGCCGCCTCCGCCTCCGCCGCCACCGCCCGGAGCCGGCGGCCGCGGGGAGACGCTGCTGGGCCTGGACATGGCCCTGAGGCGATGTTCTCCCAGCGTAGAGGCAGCCAGCTTGCTGGTGACAGCCAGTGACAGGGGCTCCGGGCCTCGAAGACCACTGAAGAGACGCGGCCGCTCCACAGGCAGCAGACGCCCGGCCTGAGTCACAAGGTCCTAATCACCACAGCAGCAGAGAAGGCGCCGGCGCCACTACAGCCCCGGCGAGGCGGACAGCGCAGACGTGATGACGTCACCCGGATCTACGGTCACGTGACTTCGGCGCGTCGGCCTGAGGTGCTAATCCGTGGCTCGGCTCCCAGCAGGGGCTGCCTCCTAGCTGATGCTGCTAGCCTCCGCTGGCCGCCCGGGGGTTCTGTTTCATCCTTTTATTCAGTTACTTATGAGTTCGCCTAATCATGCACTTGTTCCTTCAGACTGGCCTCCTGCTCTGTGCCCAACACTGCTACACGTACATTATACACTAGGGGCTTGGCAGGTTCTCGCTTCCATCCCACGGTTTGTATTCCAGTGAGAGCAGTTTGCCAAATTGAGCAAATAAAAATATCAAGATGACCAATTTGGATTGCACAATAAACAGTAAGTTTTAGTATACATCTTTCCCATGTAATATTTAAGAACCGTAAAAATGTATTCATGATTTCACAAGTTCAGATTAACTGGGAATCTGTTTTACCTGGCAACCCTAAATGAAGATGACAGGCCAAAAACAACTAAGTGATTAAATGATAGTTATGAAAGTTTGCTATTTAATGGAATATGCAAGTGGGACTCAGTATGAAGGAGGTTAGAGATGGTTATCAGAGCTCTCACTGGCTGGCGTACCATTAGATTTAATATAAATCTAATTCCAACCACCCTAATTGCTACTACTCTATTCTTCCTATGTTCATTCTCCAGAAAGAAAGAATTGTGGTCGTTTTAAAAAGCATAAGCCAGCTTGGATCACACTTGACCTAAAGCACTCCAATTGCTCTTTGCAGCAGCTAAGACAAATCCTGAAGTCCATACTGTGACCTGCAGGTCCCCTTGTGATTTGACCTCTCCAGCACCCTCCCTGTCACACTTCATAGACGCACTGGTTTTTTTGTGTTTGTTTGTTTTGTTATGTTTTTTCTATCTATTGAACACACCATGCCACTTGCCCTGAGGAACTTTGCATTTGGGTAGTCTCCTGCACAAGATTATTTTCTTCTTAGAACTTCATCTAGATGCCGATTCTCATCATCTAAAGCAAGAGTCCATTCCTTAGACTTGCTCTCTCACATCAATGGGCTATCATTTGCAGGTTTTTTGGAATTATTTTATTTACTTTCCCCACTAAGATATAAGTTCCTTAAAAGCGGAAATCTTAGTTATTTTTATTGCTGTTTCATCCACACACAGTATTTAAAAACCTAAAATTAGTATTGATGATCTTTGCCATCAAAAGACATTCACTATAATCCTTGAGCTCCTGCTTGTCTCTAAATAGTAGATAAAGTCCTACAAGCAAGGATAGGTCCTATATTCTGGCCCTCACTAAAACAAGGTGATGTTATAGTTTAGATCTAAAATGTCCGGCAGAAGTTTTATGCTCAGAGGTGAGGTCTGGTCAGAAGAGGAGCTCACTAGGAGTTTTCACAGGAAGGGTGAATCTGTCCTGATATGCATTGAGCAGTTTCCTTCTGCCATGTTAGATCAGCCTTTGAGCCAGTCAACCATGAACTGAGCCCCCTAATACCTTAAACTGAAATAAACTTCTCTTTCTAAATTCCCCTTTTGTCCCAGAGATGGGAAAGAGACTAATATGATAGATTATTCTAATTTCCAGAAATGTGTTACAGACTATAAAATGTTGGGGCCAGGGATTTAGCTCAGTGGTAGAAGTGCCTGCCTGGCAAGCATGAAGTCGTGAGTTTGATTCCCAGTACAAAAAAAAAAAAAAAATCAGAAAATCTGGCAAAGAGAATGAGCAAATACCATACAACCCCTATATATAGCTATAAAGAAGGAGAATTAGCAACTCCACTTCAGTTAAAGAACTTACTGCAATCCTGACCATGTTGGTCACTTTCTGATAGTATTTAATAGAATGTTGCACAGTTACAAATATAAATAATTTGAGAATTAAAATCAAAAAAATCCACCAAAGAAATTTGCATATATGATCAAACTTTTACTTGTCTTGGAGATTGAAGTGAAAAAGTTCTTTCTAAATTGAAACCTTAAATCTACTATTAAATCAGTTAAGTTTTGGTGTCTTCCCACTGAATTATTTTAATATCAAAAATACTTCTAAATAATAGTAAAAAATTGTGTTCAGCCCTAACAGGACAACATAAATTAACTAGGAAAAATCTAAAACAATGCTTTTTTATTTGAACAAGTCATGTTTAGCCTTTCTAGAACATGCTAAGGATTGTAATAAATTCTTTAATTGAAGTGGAGTTGCTAATTCTTCTTTATAGCTATATATAGGGGTTATATGGTATTTGCTTATTCTCTTTCCCAGACTTTTTGATTTTTTTTTTTTTTTGAACTGGGGATCAAACTCACAACCTCATGCTTGCGAGGCAGGCACTTATACCATCTTTTCCAAACTTTTTCACCTCATTTTATACATAGAAAATATTTGCATGACCTCCTAGGTATGGTAAAGAATTTTGGTGCTCATAAATTTCCATGTTTCTCTTCTTCCAGAAACCAACACTAGACCACATTGCTCTCATCTTACCCAAAGTCCCTGCCTCTGTTGTGAAGGCATATGGATGAATTCTGGTAAGTAGACTGTAGGTAGAATTGATATATACTGTGATTCTTCCTTTCTCTGATCTGCAGCCAAATAGTGAAGAAAGCAATTACAAATAATGAAAGGCCAAAGTCAAGAGAGAACTTCGTGCTGTTAAATTGAAATCAGGGGTATCGGTATGAACGTATCCTAATATCAGTGAATACTTCCAATCCCAAAATCTTATTTCCTAAATATTATTTCCCATAAAAGGAGCCAGAATTCCCTAGAATAAAGGTTAATTATAGGGCTTGTATGGAACAAAGACAGGATGATCCTGAAACATCTTAAAGAATCAAGAACTAAGGGGGCTGGGGATTTAGCTCAGCGGCATAAGCACCTGCCTTGCAAGCAGGCGGTCATAAGTTCGATCCCCAGTACCGGAAAAAAAAAGAAAAAAAAAGATTGAAAAAAAAAGAATCAAGAACTAAGGGGTTGCTTGTAAGAGATACAGACTCTTCAAAAGAACAGAGGAACCAGCTTCTAGAAACTACTGAAGGCCAAAAATGCTATAATTTGAGTATCAAAATAGTTACAATATTGGATTATAAACTCATGAAATAACTATCCTTGAACCCATAGCTATATTAATGAACAATTAAATGAGCAAATAAATGGGAGAAAAAACATTTCTTCCTAATGGAAAAACTTTACTTGATAAATATAAAAAGGATGATGGAAATACAAAATCATCATTAGGATAAAACACAATCATTCAAGTAATAATCATTCCCAGATACTAAAAATAGTGGGCAAAGCTGTGATAAACAATAGAATATTTGCCTGGCTTGTGAATATTTCTCCCCAAAGAGTGGAGTTAGAATCTAAAAATACAATTTCTCCTATCCCCAGCAAAAAGAGTCTTCACAATGTCTGTCGAGTTATTTCAAAATCAGTGTAGATGTGTTCTACTACTTAACATAGGGTAAACAAGTGAAAGCATATTATAATACATGTTAACATGGTATATAGGTTACCTGACCATGAGGTATCATATCTGTACCTTCTAAAGAGTACTGTGTATCAATAACAGATCCTGGATGCAGGGCTAATCTCTGGGACAGTATACATATAATGTGTTAATAAGAGGACAAATATTTGATACTTGGCCACCAAGATATTGTCAAAAGACAATAATGCAGCAGTTTGTTCTAAAATATAAATTGGCTTTGTGATTCTAGAATTGAGCAGCACTTCACTCCATGAAACAGAATGTGTTAACAGTGAGTTGTACTGGGGTGGTTAGTTTTTAAACAGAAGCAAACCAAAGAAAGCAAAAACGAAGAACAAAAGCAGATTGGTCATTTTAAAATTACTTTCATTATAATATAGGAATAGGTGGGGGATTTAGCTCAGCGGCATAAGTGCCTGCCTTGCAAGCTTGTGGTCATGAGTTCGATCCCTGGTACCGGGGGGGGGGGGGGGGGGGGGGGGGGGGGGAACAATATAAGAATAGGGAAATGATTGAAAAATTACTGATTTGTTAATATCAGGTTACTTCAATGTATTTTTTTAGGTTACTTCAATTTAGTGGATTTTAATCATAATGATTAACACAGGAGACTTTACTATCAAGGTCATTGAAACTGGGCTGCTCGAGGAATTTGTCCATATTCATTTATTCCCTCAAAATCAGTCTCTCTCTCTCTCTCTCTCTCTCTCTCTCTCTCTCTCTCTCTCTCTCTGTCTCTCTCTCTCTCTCTCTCCCACTTGACTTCTTAAGTCAGATAAAAATTCGACTTTGGTGATATAGACCTTTACATGAATAACTTCATTTTTATTTTTGTCTGATTTGTTGAAATCACTAGAAGGACTAGAACTTAGTCCAATATGGTGGCCTCTGATAAATTTTAGTTTAGCTTTACTAACTGTGTTGAAGAATACTAATGCTCATCAATAAATGCATTTTCTTCTTCTTCCTGAGCCTTATGTATTTCCCAATGCCTTCATATTAGCCAGGGGCAAAAAGACTGTTGGCTATTGGAATGTGGCTGGAACTGATATAACATGTCCAGGCTTGGCCTCTAAATCCTTTTTTTAACCCTCCATTTTCTGCCTTTCTCATCTGTTGGAAGTTTTAGAAAACAATATGCCCCTAGATAGAACAGCCCTAGCTTCCTGAATGACTGTGATAACGTTTCCTTGTCAATCTTCATTGAGTTGTGATATAAGGAAAAAAAAACCTCATTTGTGGTAGGCCAGACATGTGGAGGTGTTGGCTATCACAGTGTAGTAGAGTGTTACTCTTATGACCTCAGGTGAATCATACTTACCTGTTTCCACATCCTTTTATACTTACTTCTCTGACAATTACACCGTTCTTTGGTTATGTACCCTGGCTTGGCCATTGAAATATCAACAAATAAGGCATAAGTACAAGCAAAAGTATTTGTGCATTAGGATTTCCCCTCTGCTGCTTGTATAAAGCCTTCTAACAGGTAAAGAAACTTAGGCT